GTCATGAATTCACCTTCATGAAATAATGTTTACTGATTTCTGCCTCAGTCTGTCTATATATTTATATATATTGGGCCACCAGTAAGAGTATCATAGTGCCTTAATAGTTACTTTGGGTGAACAATGCTTTATGCCAAGAAAATGTAACCTAATCCACCTTTATCAGATATTCCCAGGCTGGGTTTCCTTTGAAAGGTGAAGGTTCCTCGTTTACATCCTATCCAAGCTATTTGCCTGATACATGTGCATAATAATACAGTAGTATTCTGTGAAAGGGGTATTCTACCTGAGCAAGTCATTCACTCTCAGTATATAGAGACTGTCTTCGTTTTACTGGCAGCAGCCCAGTTAGCATTACCAACCATCTTCACAAGGTTTCAGTTGTTGGAACTTATCTATAACCACCTTAGGATGATTGTTTACTTTATACCAAAAGTTGTTTCTTGCCAGTAATGATGTCACATTTCCAAGTTACGACTTTGTCTGAAGTTTGAAGTAGTGATTGAAATAGTGACATAGTGTATTTTTCTGATTTGTGCTGATAAATAGGGCGATCTGATAATACATGTGAAAATGTGAGGAAGACTGTCTCATGGTAAAAAATGAGGAGATTTAAAGGTACAGACCTACTTCTAGATGGACTCTGTTGCTTAAAGCGTTCTTAACATTTAGTTATTAACATTTTGTTACATAAAAGCTTATACATGGGAAATAAGAATACTTGCAGTAGCAGAATACATGTTCATGGAAATTTTATCAAACCTGTACATAATTATTCTTTCCTACCCTGAGAGCATTTTATATTTTGTTTTCTTCTATGTTGCCCTCTGTGTTTCCTCATTGTTTCATTTTGAAATCCATTTAAATTCAATATTCATAAATCAACATACCAAACCATTTGAAATAAATATATTTTCTTCCAACTATTTTACCTCATGTCACTAAAATTAATATTGTCATATAGAGTTGGAGCTATTGCTGACTGTCCTAATCTGACCAATCAATACATTTGATACCATCACAGTATAGATTTGTTCAGGATTTTGTGGATTAATATTTCACATTATTGCTCATAACTGTACCATAAATTGATAATTTACAGGGGAAGCCAAGATAGATGATTCGTAATGTGACAGTTGTCATAACATTTGCTTAGCAAGTTACTATGACAACTTGAGTGTTTATGTCCTGTCATAGATATTAACAAAAAAAAACATGTTTTCAGAAATATGAATTGGTACAGAAATAATTCTTTGATTTAGCTATATCAAATCAGAATACTCAGTCTCGATATCACAACATTCTATTTTTCTGCCTATAAGCTATATCTAATTGAAAACAAGCTAGCATCCATGTATAAACTGCTTACGCACATAATTAATTAAAAGAGAAAAATGAGGAAAAATGGGCATTTTGACCAAGTTACTTCAAATCGTAAAAACAAGAATTTTTTGCCTTTAAGAAAAAATCTTGGTGTAACTTTTCATGCAATATGATACTGTAGATTGGTTGACTGTAACTATATGTAGCTCATATAGGTATTGCTTTGCCTGTAGCTCACTGTAAGCGATGGCCCTTTGTTATCGCTGTTGGTACATTATGAATTGGGCCATTGCCTGGGTCTTTCTCACAAGCTTTGTCTGCCAGGATATGTGTCAGTCACATTGTTTGGGAATATGCTCTCTATAAGAGTGCTGATTGACATTCTTTATAGCAATATATGCATTGATACTATAAGCCTATTACATGACGTCTAAACTGGAACCACAAGTTTTCTTTGTGCTACTGGACAAAGTACACACACCTACAAATTGAGTAAACAGTCAACGTTCTGTCAAACGGCCCAATTGTAATTTTTCCAGGCACATGAATTCTCATATCCAAAATGGAACTACTGTACCATTTACAAGAGATCATTTTGCTCTAATTTAGACATAACTTTTTGATCATGCCTCTAATCTGTAGTCTTAAAATCACCTCACTACATCTAACAATCACTTCACATTCTAACTTTCATAGGAGGCTGAACACTCCATTTGAGATCATAACATCAAAACTATAAAATCATTAATAGTAAAGAATTGATTTGACCAGTAAATAAACTGTCCACCATGCAGTTTTGATGTCTTCGTTAATCTGTGGTTTGTAAATTCAACCAGATACAGGGTGTCCCATATTTACCGCTCATGTTTATCAACTGGTGGTTGAAAGAACTAGATTGTGGTAAGACACAAATAATTACCTTTGAGACCACAATTTGTTTGATTCCATCATATATATATATTATTCACTTTTAGGATATCATGACATGACGGATTAGTCTACTTTTCACTTTTAATACCATTCTTTCCATTGAATAATATTGAATTAAATCTCATATGTTGTCATATTGTCTTTGTTTTTCATTGGAGAGACAAATTAATAAGTCATTTCAAACATGAGGATAAGTTGATGAATATGGGTCTATGTGTCTAGATTCATGAATATTACCATAAAGTTATGAATGATGATTGACACCAGTTGGATTGAAGAATATGTATAGATAAATATAGTTCTTGATTTGTAAGATTTGACATTAAGATCATTAAAGCTGGACATCGCTCCAAAACGCAATATGTTGACATATATTGTTTTTACATTTTTAAGCTCTAATATAAAGTTTATGTAAATAAAAATTGTTTTTTTTCTGCGTTATATCAAAGAACAATCATTTAGTTTAAAAAAATAAAAAGGCGAATGCGGGATTCAAACCCGGGCCTCCCGCGTGCTAAGCGAGAATTGTACCCCTAGACCACCGTCTTCTAATGAATGTTAGTTGCAATTAAACGCTACTTATTTTGAATGCTATGATTCGGAAGTGACGTCACGTTCTTCATTTACAAACTTTTCCAAAATCATATCGTCGGCGCCGACTCGAAGCAATTCAATGAATAATCTTTGAAATGACACATTTATCGTAAGTATTTCTACACAAGATTTGCCCCATTTGTTCATCATTCTATAATCTTTCATTAGGCTCAAAATGATAAAGTTCACCCCCGAAACAACCCAAGATTGCGTTTCGGAGCGCAGTCCAGCTTTAATTATGAAAAGTGTTTTAAAATACCAAGCAATGAGCCTGATCACAGTCTGTTGCTACATTAAAACCAATTAAGAAGGATAATTTTATCTAAGAGAGTTTTGATTCCATCTTTTAAATACCGTATTCGTTATAGTGGAGGTAAGACTTACAGTGTACTCAACGAAAGGAATGTCATACCTGCTTTTTTGTAGTTTGAGGTTGTGTTTTAAAGGAGTCCAATTTCAGATGCACTTCAAATGTTTGTTTTGTCTAATTTTAACCATAACAAAACAAAACAGAATCAACTAAATGATGAATGCCTCATAATGAAACCAATCAACAATTTTGACTGTTTCAAAATGTGGCATCTGTCAGTAAAGTACTCTTGAAATGTGTTAGCTTTAATCAATCATTCATCTATCTGTCTCATCCTCTTATTTGTAACTACTCTATGATGTACTCATTTTCACCAAGTACATTGTTCACTTTCTGGGTAGTCAAATGTTATAATTTGAAATTTAAAAACAAAAGTGGTTTCAATAATTTATTTATAGATATAGGTAGATGTTTACGTTATTCCATTTTTTATACGTAAATCTTTTCCAATATTGGATCTGCACTGAGTAAATATTTTTCAGGCAGGGAACATTTTTAATAGAAAATAAAAACTATAATGTAAAATATCTGTGGGTTAATTTGAGTTAATTATGTTTAATCTGAAAGTCTATGAGGAAGATTCACCATGGAAGGGTTAAACTTTAGTTTGTCATCTCAGTTCATATTGAAAGTGGCCTTTATACTCCTATAAGCCCACTCACATGTATTCACAGCTAAGAAAAGTGTTAACTATTTTAACTCTTCAATGTGGCCATGTGGCTTACTACAAAACATAAACAATACAGTTTTACTCCTTGTAAAGATTTTTCACAACAGAAAATATATACCCTCTTTGGTTATCAGTTTTAAAAGCTTTAAGGCAATGTTACATCATGATGATGAAGATATCATAAATGTTGGGGAGAATTTATTTAGTATACTTTCTATACAAAGGTCACCAGTTAAAATCAATATGCATGGCTGTTCTTACAAATGGTTGTACCCCCTGTAATTGCTTGCATTGTCAGAACCATATATCTTGCCCTATTTGTCATCTGAAGCAATATAACATTGGCATCCTGCTTGGGTATAACATCAGGACACATAGTTTTTGAAGCTCTAGATTTCTTGCAGTCTGTCATATTTTATTTCATTACTTTCATATTTATGTGTTAATACTCAACCAGGGAAAGTTGCCAATTGTAATAAATAAAATACTGTTCTGTACATATACTTTTACACATCGCTCTTAAGTTCTTCTATTATAAAAATCAATTATTGTATAGAAATAGACATACAATTGAAGTAGAATAGAATAAAAACAACTTCATGTTAGTTTTTTGTGACTAATTGATTGTCGGTCAGTTTTTCAAGGGTCATTTTTAGATTGAATGATGATTTTCAGTAAAAGGAAAATTATATTAATGAGATTCTTTTTAATTTGGCTTATATAAGGTACCAGTTTGATAGAAGTACCTTTTTGATACAGGTACCTTTTCAGTAAGCTTGTTTGGTAATGTCATTGACGTTAGTAGAGTTGCATCAATATGTGTGCTTTTATTGGGAAGTCTTACTATTGGTCTATTGTATATTAAGGTGAATGGACCTCATTGTTACGTGATGCTTTGTGCACTTTGTGAAATCAGCAGATTTCGTTACTTATTCAGAAATCAAACTAGCATTCGCTGAGATTTACATGCTTTTATTTGTATCAAAAGATTGTGAAATTTCTACTTTAGTGCTGAGGATGAAAATATTGGTTTTTTCAATATGCTGTTTTGTATACAAAATAATCTCTTTAACTATAAATCTCATTTTATAATATTGTTGTTTCTGTTTTCAGAACTCCGCCACACCTAGTCCTTTAAATATGCCTCCCCAGGATGGTTTACCCGGTGGGCCAATGCCTCCTGGTTTCTTCCCTGTAAGTATATAGCTAGCAGTAGCACCCTAGTGTGCTACAACTTTTCTTAGCTAGCACCCCAATATGCTACAACTATACAACTAGCACCCAAATATACCATAGACATTCTACCCAATTCTGACATACCGTATTCTCTGTAATTAGCGCCCAGGGCGTTTAGAAAATTGAAAATACATTATTTAGACCATTCTAATAAGCGCCCACGTATGAAAGAAATCAGAAATCCCGAGGAATTTCATGTATGGCAATTTTTCTTGACAAGAATGCATTTTCTTCAACATATTTTTATAATAATATGACAAGTGCTGTTATTGGAGAGAATATGGTAAAGATCGCTTAGACAATATTGACAGTGGTTGAAGACCCGTCTATGTCTAATTTATTTCCGGCACGCCCACTTTGTCATTATCGCCGATTACCTTCAATATTTCCATTAGAGACTGCTGGATATCGATCTAAAGTTATACATTATTTCTAATTTGATGAGAGATCATCATTATTCGTGCAAAAGTCCTGTAAAAGTCGAGAAACATTAAAAAGAAACCAGAAAGTTCACGACCTTGACATGCGCAGAACATCTGCGCAGTAGCTTTTGAAATTTCTGAATGCCGATAAAGAACAATTCCTTCATTCATTATGGACTATTTGGAGACAATATTAGCATGGTATGGTGTGGGAAGCACCCATCGATAGATATGTATCGAGAGGATGCATAGAATTACAAAACGCGTCGTGTTTACAGCAGTTTTAGGGTAAGTACTCTATTATCGCCCGCTCCTGGATTTTGAGAAATATTTTTTTCCTGATATATTCTTCAATTCTTGTTGATTCCTCGATGTTTCTTGAACTTTGTGAAATGGGGTGGGCGCTTATTAGAGAGTGGGCGGTAATTACAGAGAATACGGTAATTGCCTATAATCGGTACATGATAAAACTGTCACACAAAAGCTACAAAATTGTCTATCAGCTAAATGCTGCACAATTGCAGCGAAACAGCTGTCTATCAGCAAACATTAACAAACCTATCATCGAAATATGACAATCAAGTACATTCAAATTCTGATACTCTTTCAACCAAACGTGACGACTGATGACTGTATGATTAGATAATTAGGACACTACCAGTTTCCATGAGGATGTTTGTATTGTATTGTATCATAGACAGCTTACCATAGAAATATACTTATAGACCATTTCACTAAATCCTGCCACATTTTGCATTTCAAAGGAACTTGGATATATAACCCAGATGCATTGTAAATTCTAAGAGGGTTTTGTTTTTGAGCAATAAGCTGCAATTTGCTTGGAAACAATGTTTCCCACAACCCATGACACAGTGACACGAATCTACCTGACATATCCCAGTTTCATAGGTATATCAAAATATGGCAAGATTTATTGGAAGATGGAATATGGGGCTTTTAGTTTGTGGATATGAGGTCTACACCATGATACATGATTTGACAGTTTTACTTCAGAATTTGGCTGAAACACAATAACATTGACCATAGTCCAAGTTTGTTTCCCAAAATGACAACTACCTACTACCTGGATATGACAAAAACCAAATGTGACATTTGCCTACCACCCAAATGCAATGTAAATGCATAGAGGTGTCACACTGACCCGAAGTCAACCCAAATTTTGGCTTGCATGGCTCGCTTTGGGTCACAAATAACTACTTACAAATTTCTGATCAGATTCGAACACTCAGGAATATCATAAATTATTGGCTCATAATATGCCGTGTATTCACTTAAATGGTTTGACAATTACCGTAGGTCAAATTCATTTTTCTGTGACCCAACCCGAAATTACCTGACCCGCACATTTTTCTGGCCTGACCTGACCCAAAAAATATCTGACCCGTGACACCTCTATAAATGCGTATCACCTATAAGTGTATCGTATTAACACCCAAATTTGACACAATTGCTTACCACAGCCTGTTTATTTGACATGACTACTACCTAAATATATAAAATTTATCTGTGTACCAACCAAATGTAATATACTTGCCTACTAATCAAGTATGACACAAATGTGATATGACGGGCTGTCACCTTAATCACGGGATGCCATCTCCTAATTTGGTGAATGTGAGGGAGCAATCCGTTAATACAAGAAATTTTCATACAATGTATTTTGAAAAGCTGTTTATTCGCAGAGAAAATGAACCAGCACATGCGATGACAATGTCAACTGTGCTTCATGAAATTCGTTGGAAGTCTATTATGATCCAATAAAAAGTTAGTAAAAAGGCACTAACATCCCACACTCAGAATGATCGTTTTTCCATTATATCTTTTCATTAATGTATTTTAACGAAGGCTTCTAATTATTATCAAAGATAGTCTAAATACTGATTAAAATATTTTTCTTATTTCAATTTGGCTGTTTGAAGTAAGAAATATTTTAATCGGTTTTTACTTGGTAATACGTTAAAAAGTTGTAATTGAAAAACGATCATTCCGAGTAGGATGTAAGTGCCTTTTTTTAGAAACTTCAATTGTCATTACATGTGCTAGTTCATTACATGTGCTTTTCAGTTAGAAAATATATTGTGTGAAAATCTTGAAATTTCTTGTAAAAACGACCTGCTCCCGCACATTGACCAGGCAATGAGATCCTGTGTAAATGTGACATAAATGGCTGTAAGAAAGCTTGACAGGTGCCTTTGACTGCCCCGTATACCATCATTCAGTTACCATCATTCAGACCTTTGGACAATATAATTTAGCTTTGAAAGGAGTTCCATTTCTGATTCTGGCTAGTCTAGCTCACGCCCTCCCCCCTCCCTATTTCACACCTACAGGGTCTCGTATGTTCTTTAAGTATATCATCATATCATAAGTGTTTACAAGACTGTGGTGTGTGTTAGTGAAGAAGATAACGGGGGTCCACAGTCTTGGGGCAAGACTAATTTTGAACTGATATTCAACCCTAATACATCATAATTCAGACCTATATGTACCATCATAAAGTTTATGAACTGACATTCAGCCCTAATACAACATAACTCAGACCTATTTACCATCATACATATGAACTGACATTCAACCCTAATACATCAGAATTCAGGCCTATGTACCAGCATACAGGCTTATGAACTGACATTCAACCCAAATATATCATAATTCAGGCTTATGTTCCATATGAACATATGAACATATATGTACATATGAACTGACATTTAACCCTAATATATCCCAATTCAGGCCTATGTACCATCATACAGGCCTATGAACTGATATTCAACCCTATTACACCGTTGTTCAGACCTATGTACTATCACACAGGCTCTTGAGCTGACATTCAATCTTAATACATCAGAATTCAGGCATATGTACCATCATACAGGTCTATAAACTGACATTCAACCCTAATACAACATAATTCAGGCCTATGTACCAGCATACAGGCCTATGAACTGACATTCAACCCAAATACATCATAATTCAGGCTTATGTTCCATCATACATACAGGGCTTGCATTAACGGCGTCCCTTACATGTGAAGGACTCAAAAATAATTTGGAGGATGCAAAAATTGAAAATATTTCCGTTTTTTGGACGCAAATTTTTTTTAGGTCAATACTACAATGTGTTTACAACGATACCTAACAAAAACAAATAATTATGATCTCTCACATTTATTTGAATCGTAAATAAGGCTCAACATGTTGAATATTTACAAATAATCATGATTCTCTCGAATTTTTTCGACTTTGTTTATTTTTAGATTTGAAACCATGACACCCCACAGTTTTTCCTATTCAGAAACAAATATTAGTTTATTCATGAAAGAAAATGTATTCATTGTCGAATGAACGAACATGCACTTATTCAGTCCCTACTTAACGTTTACTTCCATTTTAAATTCGCGGCAAGAAATCAAAAACTGAAAGGTGTTTTGGTAAAAAATGCTTTTAAAATAAAGTTATACCTCAAAACAGGCTAGAAATAGGGGACACACTTTTTTCAAAGGACACACTTTTTAAAAAAAATTGCGTCCTTGGGACTCACAAATTTTCTAACCTAATGCAAGCGCTGTACATATAAACTGACATTCAACCCTAATACATCGCAATTCAGGCCTATGTTCCATCATACATATTAACTGAGATTCAACCCTAATACAACATAATTCAGGCCTGTGTTCCATCATACATATGAACTGACATTCAACCCTAATACATCATAATTCAGGCCTATGTTCCATCGTACACATGAACTGACATTCAACCCTAATACATCATAATTCAGGCCTATGTACCATCATACAGGCCTATGAACTGACATTCAACCCCAATACACCATTGTTAAGACCTATGTACTATCACACAGGCTCTTGAGCTGACATTCAATCTTAATACATCAGAATTCAGGCCTATGTACCATCATACAGGGCTATGAACTGACATTCAACCCAATACACCATCATTCAGACCTATGTACCATTGTATAGACCTATGAACTAATATTCAACCCTAATACATCATAATTCAGACCTATGTACCATTATACAGGCCTATGAACTGTCATTCAACCCTTACACATCATAATTCAAGCCTATGTACCAACATACAGGGCTATGAAGTGACATTCAACCCTTATACAACATGATTCAGTCTCCAGACATATGTACTATCATACAGGCCTATGAACTGACATTCAACCCTAAAACGCCATCATTCAGACTAATGTACCATCATACAGGCCCATAAACTGACATTCAACCCTTATACACCAATTATTCTGACGTATACCTATATACCACCATGGGCATTCAATAGAAGGGTATGCAACTCTGTATTATTACATGAGCAATTCAAAATGAGCAGTGCCATGCTTCTCTTTTTGGTAATATTTCAAAAAGATTTAGATTAAAGTAAATGTTTCTTGCATTATCTTCAAGAAAAATCAATTTTAAATATTATTAAAACATGAAGCATGATTTATCTCATTCAAAAGTAAACAAAAAAAAGACCAATAATTAGG